CCTATCAGAACTATTTGAAGCGCGACTAGCGGAGGGTTAATGATGGACAGGGGGGGGGGGCCACGAAGCAAAGAGATTTGAAAACTGCATAAAGTCGTGGGAGCGTTAGTCGAGGTATTACTGTATTTGTTAACGTGAACTCACGCATAGTTGAACAAATCGTGTAATGAGTGTTTTACAGAGCTCTTAAAACACATACAGTAGAACGTCGTTTATCCGAACGTTTATTATCCGGAGCGTCAAATATCCGGATTAGTTTTTTTTTCTGTCATCTGCATGCTCTGTACATGAATACGTTTTCGAATAGTGCAATGCTCAACAATTGTTTCGCGTGAGGCCAAAAGTGACCGGAAAACCTAATGTCTGGGATATTTGGGGAATTTCAGTTGTGTGATTTGGTAAACATCTGCCCGGAATATTAGGTCAATTTGTTTCCAAGTGAGGGGGTATATACGTGCTCTTTTGTTGAATTATGAACTGCTATGGCTTCGAATTCAAAACAGAAGCGCAATGTCTTGAACATAGAGACAAAACTTGAAATATTGAACCATCTCGCGAAGAAAGTGAAGCGTTTCTAGCACAGCAGAAGACTGTGGATTTCAAATGCTAAATGATAACGATATTGTGACGTCCGTGCAAGAAGAATCCGATCCTGTCGACGAGATGAAACGGATGAAGACGAGGACAACAACAACAATGAAAGTAGCAAGGGTCCATCAAATGCTGACTCGTTTTCTGCGTTAGAGACAGCTGTGGAGTGGTACGAACAACAATCAGAGTGCTGTCCTACTCAACTACTGCGGCTCAAGAGAATTAGAGACCTTGTAGCGAAAAAATGAAGGTGTACAATGGTACAGCGAAAAATAAGTGATTATTTTCCTCAATAAAAGTAAAATTGCGACATTTTGTACCTATTTTGCTTTTTCTTCAAGCACGTTTCCCGCATGTGATGATTTTCAATACTCGTATAGTGTCCGGTTTCATATACTGCATGGATCACATTCGGTTTTCGGTTATTCCAAACAATCGCGTATTCGAACGGTATCCAGTCCCAATTGATCCAGATAAACGACGTTCTACTGTACTAGCATTGGATATAACCACCATGGTTCGTTTACAACGCGACGGATCCTTTTTGTTGTTAGGAAGATAATCCTTGTCGTTAGTGGTGCTAGAACGACTTACCATATTACGCGCTCTACGCATTCTACTAATTTGAGAAAAAAAAGTCCTTACAAGTCGAGAAACATCACTGAATTCCCTGGAAACATCTGTCTCTTGTTATTCCTTCGTTTAGTCGGCAATATTTCCTTCACACTTAAAGTCGTAGTCACGGTATCTGAGTAAGAATCGCGAACTCAATGCTGGTGTTGTACTTTTGGAGTCAGGAGTTTGAATCCTGGTGTTGTAACTGTCCCCAAAGCCTGACTATCCAAGATTCTCATACTCGAAAGATTGTGACTCGAACCCAGCTTTGCAATAGAATTAGTTTCTATGACCCGAAATATCAAATGGTACAGATACTCATTTTACTTAGCCAACTATCCTTACTTAAGAGTTGGGAAGATAAACTAATATTTAAATAATAAAAAGATAACTCATCTGAAATACTCGCAGACACTCAGAACGCTAGCTCCAACAAAATGACAGAAGTTACAGTGTTTACGTTGAACTCTGAATCAACGTTCAAAAAATCCTATCCGAGAACTTTCCAAAGTGGATTGCACTGTCAACACTAACGAGTGCCTAGGCTTAGGCTCATATTGTTAAACTAACAGTTATCCCTTTCCGCATCTATATCTCACTCAGTTTTATGACTTCGAACCAATCGGCCAATCATTACAAGGATGTGACTGTTAATCTTTAAGTAAAATTTTAAGGTATCCGACTACGTTCGGAACCGTAATTTTTCAAATGCGTACAAACGAATACTTTTTTTAATATTTAGGTCACTTAGATTAAAATACTCGTATGAAATTGTTGTAAGAATATTGTTCCAATTAAAAATGATTTAAATGCTATACTTCGGCAAAAAAAGAACATGTAATTATTTATTTTTCAAATATTCTTTTATGGAAAATGCGACTGTAAAAATAATATTTTGCCTATATATGGCTCAGATCTCTATACAGAGCCTGAACCAGGATTTTTGAACAATATAACTTAGAAGTGGATTTATCCATATTTTAGTATATGAGAATGGAGAAATTTTAATAGAAAAACACTGATAATTATTTCAATTGGTAGTAACTCTGAAAATACTGTGAATTGTTCAAAAGTCGTATTTCAGGCCCTCTGGAGAAGTCTTAGATATATATATATATAAGCAAAATATTATTATTATTATAGAAGCATTTTTCATAAAAGGAGAATGTTTTGAAAAAAGGCAATTCTAAGTTCATTTTTTGCCAAAATATTGCATTTGAATAATTTTTTATTGTAATAATATTCTTAAAATAATTTTATAAGTGTATTCTAATCTAAGTGACATTAAATATTAAAAAAAAATTCGTTTGTACGCTTTTGCAAAATCACGGTTCCGAACGTAGTCGGATACCTTAAAAAATATTGCCCCATGATAGTTTAACAGGGAACGTCACGTGATGGTTTACTGCGGTGTCACTGAAGAACCACCATGCTGTCGACACCTCGATGGCTCCCTCAAAACTGAATCAAGGGCTTCCAATTATCATCCAATGCGCACAGTTTAACCCCCCTTTTATTAAAATAATCCTAGTGCAGAATAAAAAATTCAAATTGGATTGAAACACCA